AGACTTTGCGCTTCTACTCCTGGGGAATACCCCAGCAAAATCTGCATTAATGGTGTTTTCTGCCTCTGCTCCAAATGTGCAGTGATTTAGGGAAGTGCATTGTTTGTAGATGGTCTTGGGAAGTGGCTGCAGAACAAAATATGAGAGATACAGAGGGGTCATTGGAGCAGGTGGTCTGGGTGAAAGGAGCTTTGTGCATGAGTGGGGTAACTAATGTACTGATAACCAAGTCTTGATATGGCTTAAGCTGGAGCTTTCAATACAAGTTCTTAATTTACAATCTATAAGCAAGCCTTTGTATTGCCTTGCAAATCTATGAAGGATGTGCATGGCGAGGTTAAATCCTGAATTTTGTTTCTCTCCCAATGCTTTTTTTTGGGGGGGGGAGAGGGAGGTGGGGTGCAGTATAGAAATTTTATGTGGAAGATACATATATCTTTGCATCCTTTGCACACTGATCATGGAAGATATTGCAGATTGTAACATTGTATTATTCAAAAGGATACCGAAATAATTTAAAATACAGTTTCCAGGCTGTTATTTCTTGCTGAATTATTGAAGTACTGCCTGAATCAAGGTTCTCCAAGTGCATAATGTAAACTTAGTTTTACTAGAAGTCAATTTTAAAAAGCACTTTACATTTGGCATCTTCCTGGTATTATTAGAATAGTCTAGGGGGTGTTGCCGAGTGAAAGCTTTGACAAGTTCAGATTGCATTTAACACCTAATTTTGGCTCTAATGTTGAATACTTATTTTCCTGGAGCCACTAGACAGATGGTCATTTCTTTGGGTCTCTGACCTAACTGGGAAGGTGCCTTATAAAGCCGCTTTTGTGAATAGTGCTCCATGTCATTAGTAAATGGGGAAACAGTTTGATTATTTATTTCCTAATAACTTTCAGTGGGGGAAATTGGAGAGCTAGTGAAATGCAAGAAGATCGAGACGGGCAAGTGAGAACTGCCTCCAAAGCAGAATCAGTCCTTCTGCTGTGGCCTCAGTTCTGTGTTCTCCCCCTCATTCCTTGCTCTTTGTGCTCGTCTTCAAATATATGAAGCAGGAGTTTGTGTAGCATCAGTGTGAGCCTTACTTGTATCCTTCATGATTCCCTTTTTAATCCTGTTATTTGCTTAAGTAAATTTCTGCCTTACAGACAGATTTCTTTGTTTTATCCTTTCATGCAGTATCGGGTGATGGAAGGCTAAGAAGCACTAGCAGTAGGGAACGCGCTCCTTAGTGTGCATCTTCAAAAATCAGCCTCTGTTTCTGACAAATCCTAGTCTTTGCATAGATATCACTTGTCCTTTACTCAAAGATTTAACCTTTATTGCAGTTAGAAACAAAGATTTATTAAGTGGGGCCTGTGCACTTTAAAAGAATTGTTGTATTTTCTTTGATTTTTAAATGAGAAGGTCAACTGCTTAGTCCTTTGTCACATTTTGAAATGGAGTTTGCCTGAAGTCTGAATGAAATATTTTAGTTTCTCCTTATCTGGAAATAATGTGTTTGTTCATGGTACAGGCTTTTAACTAGTTATGGTAATGGTGACAAAACAAAAACAAAGCATCTCTCTTTAGGCAAGATATTGGAACAAATTCTGCCTGTAGATGAAGCCATCTGAAACCCATCTGATAGAAGCTCAGTTTCAGCTTGAAGTCGTTTTTAAGCTTAGTGTAACTACTGCCAGTTCCTAAATAAAAAAGTGTGTGAAATGTCCACAGATAATAGTGTCAGCATTCTTATTTTCATGCCTATATTTATACCTTTTGTGGGATTTAATTACGGATGTTAACATTATGTGCCTCATTGAACATCATATTTTGCTGATCTGCTTTTATCTAGTTAAAGGACTGATTTTGCATTATTAACTCTAAAGGGTATTGCCTCTTCATAGAAGATGCATCCCCAGAGCTTTCCCTCCAGATTAGCCTTAAAAATATTTCGAAAAATCATCTTGTTCTGGAAGCTCTCGAGTTGGGTGCTCCCCACAGGGCTAGGGAAGCAGGGACCTCTCACACTTTTTCCCTGGCAGTAGCAGGATGGGCAGTGCTATTCTGTATTCATGCTTGTATATCTAGAGGCAGATTAACCCCAGTTATCTCAGCAGTGTTTGCACAAATCTCTATTCATATGTTTGAGTAAAACTGGAAAAAAATTGCTTATAGGACAGCTCATGAAGTTATACTCTACCATTTAAAGCTCTTAGATGAGTATCTAAACAATAATCTGGATTTATTTATATTTTGTATAGCACATTCAGATATTTTGGCTCTAGTCTCGAGCATTGTCATGTTTACTGTTTTTGAGGAGGAACTTCTCTTAGGTCCTCGTTAGCTAAAAGTGGTATTAGATGTTGCCTTGTATCTCTTCATAATTTGATAACACAAAAATGGCAGTTTTAGAAGCTCCATGTTAAGTATTTGTAAGAATGGGAAGCTGAAAGATGTTTTAAGTTCTTTTGAGGTACCTTTTTTTCCTGTTTTGTTTGTTTCCCCTCTCCCTTCAGCTGAAAGATCAGCAGGATATGTTAAAATCTCCATTCTCCATTTGCATTAATCCTTTGGAGAGAGAGAGAGAGAGAGGTGTTTGATTACCCACTTTGTTTGCAGTATTTTAATAAAATATCAGCTGATGTGGACTCTTACAGGAGATGAGAGTTAATGATCTGAAAAAGCCATCTTAGAGTCACATTAAAGCGAGAAAATGTGAAAGCAAATTTGATAGCCTGTCCGTATATAACTGCTGACAGAGTGTCAACCCTTGGGTTATATTGATTTCTGTCTTTATTTCTCTGCCTGTAAGAACGGCGGGTTTGTTACTCCGTGTCCGCACTAGCAGGCGAAGCGAACGTGGGCATCTTGCTCTTCTACTGCATTGCAAGATCAGAAGTCTTGGCCAATTCTGAGCAGTCATCCAAGCTGCTAGGAAGTTACCAGAAATTCTGAGCTTTATCTTCAAGTTGTACAGCACATTTTCTGATTTGCTCTCCCTATTCTTAGCCAGATATAAAAGAAAGGGCAGAGGAAGGCCAGAGACTGGGCCTTGTTTGGGAAGGGCCCCAGGTCTGTCTCGGCTTCTTTGAAAGACTTTGGCTTCACAACTGTTGTGCTGTCATTAGATGCCCTTCTGGGGAAAAGGTTTAAGATGGGTCAGATTTGCATAAATCTGTATTTTGTGTAATTCTCAGGTTAGTAACTTTGAAAAAAATATTTCCCTCTTAAGAACTTACCTCAGGAAGTACCCTGTCCTTTTATGTGCTTTAGGAACGTAAAGTTAGTTCCTAAAATTAGGAAGTTTTTGTTTGTTTTATTCTCCAGAATGATTTCTGCCTCTTCACTTTCACATGTAGATTAAAAAAAAAAAAGTTGTTTTTTTTTTAATAGGGTAGTTATTTTAATTCCCTAGTAGCTTAGAAGAAAGATGAAGATAGGGTATTTATGCTACCTAGCTTCTCTAAAAGCCTCTGCTTTCTAGGATGCTGTTATCCTTATCTCTCTTGTATGTCTCTGCTGCCTGTAACTTTTCAAGGAGCAGAAGCAGCTGTGCAAAATTGGTATATGTGCTTTTTTGGAGGACAGTTTAATGTTTTCATTAAGGTGTCTTAATCACAGCAATGGCTAATTATGTCACTTTTTTTTTTTTTTTTTTTTTTGCCTTGTTATAGATGCAAATAACATCTAAGGCATCTGAGATAATTTGAGGTTTAGGGAAGCAATGTTGAACTAATTAACCTTATACATTCCATGGGTGAGTGTGCTTTGCACCCACAGAGGATGTCCTTTTCTCAGGAAATACATAAATTCAAATTTTCTGAAGAAATCAGGGCTTTACATTTTACTTGCCTAGTAGAAAAAGCATTTTCTCCAGTCCCTGTTGGGGGCTGGATTCTTGAAAAGTTGACATCCCTGCCCAGGTTCCCTGTAGGTATTGTCAGCTCTTCAGAAAGCTGTCAGCTTGTAATCTGGCTGGTTTGCAACATGATTGTGAAATAGCCCGATACTTAATTTACCCTGACAGCTTGTAGTTTTATGGGTTACATATCCTTTCTCCTGCATGGGGTAGACAGAAGAAAAAAACCCTGCAAGTTGGATGGTACAAGAGACAGCTCGTTGTGTCATAGCTCACTGATAGACTTGGCTAACACAAAATGCTGTCAAAGGCATCTAATGGAGGAAAAAAAAGTATATCTTTATTCTCTTTGTTCATGTTATGCTACTTCAAAAATAGCAGATGAAAGATTTTTTTTTTTTTACTTTGAAGGTTTTTTTTTCTTTCATAAAAAGGTGTTGTGCTATATATGCAGAATTTGCTCCTTCAGGAATAGCTTGACACCAAGAATCTTGTTTCTAATGAAAAATTCCAGAGTGAGTTTTTTTAAGTGTTGCTATTTCTAGAAGGCGTTTTTAACACCTTATTTATTTGAGAATATTTGCCATTTGTTGATGTGCAGGATTTAGGAATAAAAAAATCCAAAAAAAAAAAAAAAAACCCAAAACAAAGACTTCAGAATGATAGATCACTAAAGTTAAAAGATTATGATGTTCTGTGCTTGTTTTGACCAAAAGTTGCTTTGGAATCATTATAAGCATTTTTCCCCTCCACAGTTCTGACTGTTTCCTCTTTAGTTGTAGTTTGTCTTCAATGTGCTTTGTGTTCTGCTTTTACAGATAATGAAGGACTAAATATTAGAGCTTTTAACCATCATCTCAGCATGTAGAGTCTTTGTATTTTATCATCTTTCCATATTGTATTTGCTTGGAACAGGATCTTTTTCCATGGGTGGGTAATAAATGGACTTTTTTCAGGTACTAGGAGCTTGAAACTCTTTTAGGGTAACCTTGCATTTTGCAGGTGTGTTGGTTTTAGAGTCTATTTTTTGACATTGAAACACAAGCATTCACATTTATGGTAATTTTAATCTGTTGGCCTTTATTTGCTGCTTTCTGAGGTGTGCTAGATTCTTCCCTCAAGGCTTCAGTATTGCCTTGTCTTTTCACAGGACCCCAGCTGAATGCACAACTAGAAGGTTGGCTTTCTCAAGTACAGTCCACAAAAAGACCTGCTAGAGCCATTATTGCACCGTAAGTTTGAAGTTTATTGTTGTTAAATTAAATATTTGACGTGTTAAATGCTTCTTTACTATGAGTGATTCTGAAGTCTGCTGCAAGCTTGCCTTTAGGTGAAAAGTGTCATCTATTTTTCAAGGATTTTGAATGTTGTCTGCAAATGCAAAATTCTGTGCATATTTGTTACATATTATTAGTTTCCTTTTGCAGATGGTTTGAAGACATAACATTCATTTGTGCATGTAAGCCAGGTAAGAGATTAGAATGGTAGTCTAAAATTGGCAGTTCATTCAGTGCATCTGTAACACAACATATATATTACACACACATTTTTAATATATACACATAGATATGTGTGTATATAACACACATTGCTATTTTATGCACATATATATATAAAATTAGTAAACTTACAAAAATTATAATAAAACATTCAGTTAACAAAACTGGTTTGTTTTGGTGTTTTTTGTTTTTTATTCATAAGAGAAATGGGGAAAAAATACTACATTTAGGGCTATTTCTGGATTACTATGGTAGAATTAAATTTAGGGAAGAAACATTAGGAAAAAACATCCTAGGGATTATGATTTCTTTGTTTTTACTTTGGTAACATAGCGTTAACAATGTTTGACATGTTCTCTAATACCAGTGAATGTGCAGAAGTAATTGGACCCCATCTGTCACAGTCCTCCTTGCTCTTCTGTATGGGAAGAGGCCTTGAGCTATGGGTTACGTAACCCGAGGGATCTCGTTTGTTTCTTTGGCTTTCTGGAGCTCCTGGAGATCTGTGTCTGTGGTCTTGGAAACTTGCTCCATTCATTGGTGCTTTTGCTGTTTCACTTGTAAAATGGAATGTAGTTAATCAAAACTTTGAAGAAGACTGAAGACGCTTGTTGCAGCGGGAAGCTTTTGGAAGGTGTCCTGGTACTGCCAAATCACTTAGCTTGCACTTAGGTCCGCTCTCCTGCTAACCCATGTAGTGTGTGAGTGCGTGCCAGGGCTTTCCTGAGCTCTTGAGAATGAGTGACCTAATTGCGCCCAAGGTAAAACCCAGGGGAAAGGCTGAGGATGACTGTTCCAGGTGTCACTGTGCTTGTGTACATGTGGATGTGACACCATCGGGAATGCTGTAGCTGTGGCGTTCACCATGCTCCGGAGTACCTGGGAATACTTGACCTGGAGTCGCAGGCAGTGCAGAGAAGATCCCAAAGGAGATGGGACCCAATGTGGGCCTGGCCGTTTGCTCCTGCTCCCGGCTCGTGGACCGTTTTTGCTGCTCAGCTGGGAACCCTGGAAAGTGCTTCCTGGAATTAATGCTTTCTGTGGTGTGAATTGAACCTCTTCCTGTTTTCAACAGTCTTGAAAAGGATGGATCTGAAGATTATGATATTTGAAACAGAGTAATTATGAGTCTTTTTGAAGCATGATAGGAGGAGAAACAGAAACCCGGGCCAAGAAAGACTCTATCATCTGTCCTGTTCTCCACAGTGCAAATGACTTTGCTGTGTTCCACCACTTTCCTTATGCCTGTTTTGTTGCTGAGGTGTGCTTTTCATGCCAGAGCATTTTCATTCTCTGTTTCTCTCTTACAGCATGTAGCATTTTATTGCCAAAAGTGTGCATAGAGGAGCTTTTTGCTGCCGGCTCACAGTTCCCCCATCTTCTGGCTGTACACTTAGCATTATCTTGCAGCAATCTTAATATGCAGTTGTATAGTGTCTTTTATAAATAACAAAAGTTGTTTTGATCTGGAAGCCTACTTAAAGTTTTCAAGGGAAAAATTATCAAGAATTCTTTTCTTAATAATCCAGTAAATTTTTTTGTATTAAGTTTTGTTAAAGTTGATCCACTGTTACCTGGAACATTACTTGCTCTCCATCTCGGTCATAGGTTGTGAGTTTTTTTTTTTTTGGCTTTATTTATTAGCATTCTTTGTTTCTAGCTCATTAAGAACTAAATGGCCAAGATGAATATTATTTATGTGTTTAGCCATTTGATAGTATTAAATATGTTAAATAATATATTAACATTTTGTTAATGTATTATTTTGCAACTTGCCTTGCAGCCATGCAGGATATACCTATTGTGGATCTTGTGCAGCCCATGCTTATAAACAAGTGGATCCTAATATTACGTAAGTATTAAAGCATTTTCTTTTTGTTTTCAAATGGAAAGTATAGGATGAACCTATTGCAGTACTTGGAGAAGTTTAATATTATTTTTGCATTTTTACACCTTGAAGTGCTCAAATATGTTTTTATTTTGTTGTTTTTCGGGTCCCTTATTTATCCACTTCATTTTAACGACATAAAAGTGTTCAGATTGAGTCTTGCAAAAGAAAAATGTTGTAATGTTGTTGAAGGTGAAAATCTAAAGCAGTATTTTTCTAAAAGTCTTGAAATATTCGAAGTTACCTTTTAGAAGGACAGGGGTTAAGTGATATATTTCCAGATAATGTTTGTTTTTTATAAAAATAGTGGAATAAGAGATAGTAATAAGTGGAATTATTAGCGGACTTACTTATTAGTGAAATAAGGTAATAAGAGATTGAGCTGTATATTACTTGTTCCAGGGTTGATGTGTGTGCATGTGTGTTTAAATGCATTAAAATATTTGACCATGATTCTGCGTTGGTTTCTCAGTGCAGGATTATGGGCTGAATGCTACCAGGATTCTCTTCTGCTGTGGAGAACAGTGACCATTGTGTGTATATGATATTTGAAGTCAGTGAAAGTTATCTGTTGTAATAATTGTAAATGGATATATGTTTATAGTGGCACAACTCTAAAAAACATATTCCGTGCCCATTTCTGAAGATATGAAACCACCTATTCTAGGCTGAAGTGCAATTCTCACATAATTTGTTGACTGCAACATTTTTTGAAATAATAGAATATTTTTTTAAAATGAAGCTTAAAATTAAGACATCTAGAAGTATTTGATCAAAGTATGTATTTTGCAATTAATTGTAGGTACATGTTAATATTAAAAACTGGCTATGTCTTATTTGCTAATGAGGAAATATTTTTGTAGTATTTTTTCCAAAAAAAAGTTTTGATTCTTTCTAAAATTTTATAAACAAATGAATCTGATTACAGTGTGACAGAAAGCTGCATTGTCAAGAATTTTCACAGCAAGTTCCCCGGATTTAATGCTATGGAGTTGATGGAACTTTCTGTAGCGCTTTCTATTCTTCTGCATGGTATAGTCAGCATTTGCCAAAACAGTTTTGTCTTTCAGTGCAATATTACTCCCTTGGATACTTTGTTTCAATGCAAGCCAAGCGATAGTGAACCGTATTTTGGAAAACTAAAACTTGTTACAGACTTTGTGTTTTGATATGAGCCACTACAGTGAACCGTATGTAAGAAATAAACTATCCAAGTTCTTTTTTTCAGTTGGATTAAGATAGCATTTGAGAATGACATAAATTTGAGTTTGAAGCCAGAAACAGAGCAAATAAAATCAAGTTCTGATGAGTTAATCCAGAATCATCGTTTCAGAGCACCGGTCTCTGTCTGGCTTTTGAAGGTGATGCGGAGCGGAGAGCTCTGGCCCGAAAAGGGGGCCCAAAACTCAGGTTAGGGTTTAACCCAGACTTCATCCTTCTCGTGAGTCCAGCTAGACAGACTTTCTTGCTGATTACTGCTCTCTGGCATATAGCCTGTGTAAGAGATTTAAGCTTATTCTGAGTGTTACTGAACAGATTTCATGGTTATTTCTCAGATAGGAAGCAAGACTGGATTGTGGACTGACCTATGGTTTTACATATGTAAGAGCAAAATTCTATTGCTATTTTGTAGGTCAGCATTTTTTATTAAACTTACTGTTCTAAAGCAAGTAGCTCGGTAAAATTACAGACGTCTAAATTTGGGGTTTTTGTGTTTCATTGTAGACGAAAAATTTTCATTCTTGGGCCCTCCCATCACGTGCCCCTTTCCCGATGTGCACTTTCCAGTGTGGACATTTATAGAACACCTCTGTATGATCTTCGAATTGACCAGAAGAGTAAGTGAATAACAAAACTTTCAGTTGGCAGAATACCGAAGCTTTGGTGTTACCTGTACTGTTGTAGTGCCAAGAACCCTGTTGCTGATGAGCTTTGATGTTTTTAAGTGACACGCAAATGTAGTAGTGTTCTTAATTCAATAGAAGTTAACTTCTAAAAGATTCTGCTGGCTGCATGCATTACTGTGTACAGTCTTTAAAATCACTGTTGTGATCCTGCAAATAAAGAATTTTCAGTTTTTACTTGTGTTTTCCATCATGTCTTTTCCATGGCGTATGACCCCTAAAAAGTGTGTTTTTAAGAAGGATTTTTTAAATTTCTGTTGCATCTGAGTAATATGTTACACCCTTTTTCTGTGACTCCGAAGTATTCTGTCTGTAAAAAATGATAGTGCTTTAGTTTTGAGCTTATTTTTAAGAAAGGAACAAAAGCTGTCTTTGCTTGGATATGTTATTGCACCATACCCGTTTTTACTGGCAGAGTACCTACAGAACTTAATTGTTAGTCCATAAAGTACCAAGTTTTCAAATTAAAATTAAAGACTCAATGAAGATGTGCGGGTGAAAATACCACACTCTTCTCAAGGTTTACCTAAATAGCAAGTTTCTTCCTTAGGCCTAAGGAAGCCTAAATGTAACCTAAATGTGTTGCCATTCTCTCATGACTGCAAGGCTGAATAAGCTAGTTCAGACTTTCTGCCTGGCTCTTTGACTTCTCCTTAAGTGACGCATTTTAGGTTTTGTAAACTCCTCTCTGCCATGGGGAGCAAAGCAGCTCCCAACTGCAAATTGTGCATTCACTGGAGAGTTTGCATGTGGAGAGATTCCAGTTTGCGTGCAGCCAGGCATTTGAGAGGGGAGAAGATGTGTTATAAGCATGGATTACTTAAACACTTTTCCCTGTCCTTAAATTTCACAATTCAATTGTTAGTAAATTACATTAAACAGAAAAGGGTATGTTTTTTTTACGCATTCAACAATGGCTCGACTTAGCAGCACTTTTTGTGATGTGTAGGGGTGATGTGAAAATAAGAATCAAAGGACTAGGCAGATTTGCACCTATTTTTTTTATATATATATATATAAATATATATATATACACATATATATATTTTATTGTGTGTTTAAACTTTGTCATAACTATAAGTTTTTTTTGGTTAGCATTGGTGACCAGGAAGGACAGTGATTTAAAACATTTATTTTGTGGGTTTATTGTATTTGTATCTTAATGACTTTACATTTAATCATAAATTTATTTTAAAACAACTGGTTTATGATCACAGTCCTTAAACGGAAGTAGTACATTTTAACGGGCTTGCTTTAGTAAAGATGCACTCTAGTTTGCTTTACTGTTTTTTTGTTTTGTTTTTAATAACTGAAAATTACTCTTGAATTCATTCAGTTTATGCAGAGTTGTGGAAGACTGGAATGTTTGAGCGTATGTCTCTACAGACAGATGAAGATGAACACAGTATCGAAATGCATTTGCCTTATACTGCTAAAGCCATGGAAAGGTACTAGGACTTACTACTTGTTGCATAAGATAATGCATTAATTGCTTGAACTGCATGTAAAACATAATAGGAGGAAATAATACTCTGATGTAGGATTTCCTTCTTATGTTCCTCCACTCCCCGCAGTAGAATTTTTGAGGTGGGAGGAGAGGGATAAATCAAATGCTAGAATTATAACTTGTTGAACTACAGAGACTGAGCAGAGCAGACACTGGAAAAATGAAATTGTAATGTCTCTTATGAGAGAGTTCAGATGTAAATATTGACATAATAGACTTCATATTACATATATTATCTGGCATATTTCCAAATGTTTGAATTCTTTCTCCTTTTCTGTAAGATCTGAGGTGTGGTAGCATTGGGTGGAGTGGGTTGCTTGTATGTTGTTATTAATTGCTACTTGGATAAATAAATACACGTGCTAGTTTGTTTACTAGTAGAAGACAAGTGCAGCTTGCAGTCCTGCCCTGAGAGGTGGCCTACTCGCTTTTTCCTTTCCCAGAGTTTTGTAATTCAGTGTTGGGATTCTTTTGTTCACTGATCTATTTTTCCCAACTCTGAAAGAAGTTGGAATACTAATGTGTGTTTTCTGTAGCATTTAAAACTTCAGAGTATTAATACTCATTTTGAAATCAAGGTTCTGTTTACATATTTCAGGTGAGCAGTATGAATTATTTGATTTTAAAACTTAGGTGATTTTATCACATTTTTCTTGTTTTGTATAATTTTTCTCATGCAGTATTTGAAATTTTCCCTGGAGTGTCAATACACATCTAGATGCTTCCTATACACTGTCTTGAGGGCTTTCATTTATCTTGAAAAATTACACAGCGTTTGTGCTGCTTCTCTGCAGGGAGAATTTCATTCTTGCCTTATTGTTGGCTTCACTTTGTCTTTCTTTTTTTGGTTGACTGGTGTTTTCACTTTGCAGCATAAGTGGTGTTTTGGGGAGGGATTTGTCTTCTGGAGTTGAGGTGGGTTCATGTTTGAAAACATTCTAGTATGACTTCATTAAATTAACTGTATTTTCACTTTAATAGTATCCTTTTGAGCATTCTGCAGTTTCAGTTAGCAAGGCCTGAAAACCTTCAGATGTTGCCTAAAAAATTACAACCTTTTTTCTTTTGCTTATAAGCCATAAGGATGAGTTTACTATTGTTCCTGTGTTGGTCGGAGCACTGAGTGAGTCAAAAGAACAGGAATTTGGAAAACTCTTCAGTAAATACCTAGCTGATCCTAGTAACCTCTTTGTCGTTTCTTCTGACTTTTGCCATTGGGGTGAGTTTCATATCTCTTCATTCTAGCAGCATGATAAATATTTTGTAGTTATTTTTGGAGAATGTATTTCGTTAAACATATAATTTAACTTTTAAACTTCTGATGAATGTGTCTTTGTAGTTTAAATGCTTTTTGTAAAGCTGAAAAGGATTCCTTTTTTAATTTATAATGTAAAGTGAAAAAAAGATAATGCCGCAATGTGTTTTCAATGTAGTGGAGGAAGGAAGTGGTGAAGGTATATGGGCTTATAAATGCATCTCTTCACTGTTGGCAGTGAAATAAATGCCTGGAGTTTCTTGGTGTTTTCCTCTTCTAAGCATCTCAAAGCAACTTGCCAAACTAATCAGCTAAGAGTTCACTGGATATGGCAATATCCCTCTGATGGAAGTAAATTCTATATATGTTTTACTGTTGAGTAAGAAGATGGAGTATTTATGTCAATTCACCAGAGTTATTCCAGTTAATTTTGGTGGCAGAGCTAAAAAGATTCCAGAAGCTTTGACTTCTGTCCTTCTGCTTTAACCCTTTATTTTTTTTTTAGGTGTGATAATAGCTGGGAAAGGGCCTACATCAGAAAAATGTTTCATGTTATACAACAGACCTTACCTTTCTTGCAACTGTCATCTTTGATCACCTTATGTAATTCATATTTTACTCATCTTTGAATTGTGGCATAGCTAGAGCTATGTAAGAATGACCTGGATTCTGCTGTGGCTAATGAACCATCCTTTAGAAGTGTTTATTGAATTGTCATGGTCACTTTCTTTTAACCTTCATTTACTGTGGGTGTAAGTTGTGCAAGCTGAAATAGCTTGCCTCTAAGTTGACTCCGTCAGGAGGGTTAGTGAAAAGAAACGCTGCTTTACTTGCTGATTTATAGAATTGCATTTGAAAGGCCTTAGCAGGCAGTTAAAAAGGGATACTACAGTGTCAATTCTACATAACAGGGCATTTTTAGCTGCCTGCAAAGTGGTTTTTCTTCACTTCTGGGCTGGTGCTTTGGGGATTGCCCTCAAATTTCCTCACTGGAGCTAAAAAAAAAAAAAAAAAAAGTATAATAAATGAAGATTACTACTTTACAAATATTATCATTTCAGTTAGTAAGTACTAGGGAGTGTTTTAGCTACAATTTTTCCCTTTTTTATTTTATACATGATTTTTGTTTCAAGGTCAGAGGTTCCGTTACAGTTACTATGATGAATCCCAAGGAGAAATTTATAGATCCATTGAACATCTAGATAAAATGGTAAGTTTTCAGATTTGGTGAAACTAACTAACAAATTTCTCCTGTACATTACATTACTTTGAACACTTTAGAAATTTCCCTAACAAAGTATTTATTATAGGTTAGATTTTGTTGAATGTGTACTTTTCCTCTGTTTACCACAAAAAATACTTTAGATGGCTTTAGTTATTTGTTTTTAAGCTAATAGCCTACAATTTATTGAGTGTGCACAATATGTTGTCAGTATAATATAGTAAGCATAAATCATGAAAATAAATGTATGTTTGCCTACCTAAATTTCCCTGTATCTTAATTTCTGTCCAGATATCTTCTTACATTTATAAGAAGCAATAAGAACTTAAAATTTCAAAATATGGAAGTTGAGATTTAATAGTTACGATATCTGCACATTGAAACAGTGTTGGGATTAATAGCTTCAGCACCATCCCCTTTGTGGAAAAAAGGCTGTAGGGGGTTGTTGTGGATGGGAAAACCCAAGTCACTATTTCCTTTGGACTGGTCTTCCCCACTCTGAGGTGGGGAAAAGCAGTAGCCTGTACTTCCTTCTGGGTTTAAATACACAAAGATGACAATGCCAATTAAACTGAGTTTTCTTTTCAATCACAAGAACCAAGGATTTATTTTTAAAAGAAAAATTGTGCTAGCCTTCCAGACTGTATTTAATGCACAGAATAGAAAGAATTCTCCTAGAAATACATACTCTTAAAACTTGGTTAAAAACCTCGCTGGAACATTTTTGTACCTTTGTGAAATCTGTTTTTGAAAGAGAACTGATATTATTCAGTTGTCAAGACTTCTAGAGCTTATTTTGCGCATATCCTTGTTAATTTAGTTTTTCACTGCTGGAACTGCTCTCCAACCTGGAACTTTGTACTTGTCTTCATTCTAGTTACACAATTTTTAATAATTCTGGTTGTCAGTTGAGAGGTTTCTCTAAAGACAGTGTTTCCCTAAAGCGTTCTGGGAGTTTGCAGGAGAGTTTTGCAGGAGGGCAGACTAAGATGCATTACAAGCATTAGTTTCCACATGTTCATCTCTGCGGTGGAAGCTTGGGAATGTAATTACTTACCGTGCTTTGTACCAGGCCTTTGGTAGCTATTTAATCAGAAGGAAATAGGGATTTTTTTGGGGCAATATTGATGAAATTAATTGCTCCTGCATGCTAGTTAATAACTGTGAAGGTACTTTTCCAGTCCCAGTTGTCAGATGAAACGTGCTGCACAGCAGTAGTGATCTCCTCTTGTCTGTTACCTAATAGTGAGTACCCGACTCCGTGTTGAAGCAGCTCCCTGCACAGCAGGCTGCGCCTTTGGTGGATTTGGGAACAACATCTCAGTAGCCCTGTGGGAAGTGCCTTTCTCACAAGGCACACAGGGTCTCTCTCCTATTTCATTAGCTTTTGGAAGGAGTTTGTTCAATTTTTACATGCCTTGCTTGACTGACTATTTTTTTTCTTTAGATAACTATTGACTACTTCATTTTGATCTCAATATGAGAAAGCTTGTGTTATAGCCTGCAGGCTTCTCCGCAGAGAGTCTACCTTAAGGTGGACACAAAACTGTTAAAACAGAGTAACCACTGCTATTAGTGGTAACCTCTGCACTTGATGATGTAGTAATATTATTTGTCCTAACTAGCCAAGCTCTGGCTGTCTGCTTTGTAAGCAGAAAAAATAATCTGGGTTCACACTGAATTATTTCTCTTTGGACATGCCTTTGTAGGAGGACAGTCAAGGGCCTTTCTCCTCTTGGGGGGCAAAACATAACATGCACTATAGGCTTAGTACCAACATTAACCACCATGGTGAATTTTATTTGCTATTAGAGCCCTTAGATTCCCCCATAAAAAATGTAGAGCAGCAGATGTTACTGGGAAACCGATGGATTTCTCCGTGGTAACTCTTAATGTGAGGTTATTGTTAGGCTGGGTTAGGTACCACGATGTTCCTTGTAGTTACTTGGTGAAAGGGGGAGCAGCCTCGTGATAACTAGGGATACTCAGGAAGAGTCCTGGAATGAAGAGTTATCACAGAGTGGCCCATGAGTGATGATTTGTTCATATATTATAACCCTAATACTTAGCATCTTTTAGATTAAGAATGGAGGGTTACTCTGTAATATGTCATTGAAGAACATTTGGGTGTTCTTGATGATGACTAGCTATACAATGTAGACTGCCTGCTTGAGTCTTCACTGCCAGATTGCTTATTTCACTTATATTTGTGGAATGTTACTCCTTTCCCTTGAGTAAGTTGGAGGATTCTGTTACACTGAATACTGACAGAGGAAGCAAAAAAGGTAATGTGGATGATAAGAAGAGCTGTGCAGAACCAGCTGCCAGTCTTGGTGTGGAAGCAGTGCCCAACCTGCCTGGCTTTTGAGATGGTCCTCAAATGTGCCTGCCAGCTGGTGGCTCCTGCAAGTGTCATTTGGTGTGTCAGCACCTTCCACCCTTCTCCAGTCTGGGAAGACCACCTATTTGGGACCTAGTATGGACCATAACTCCAGGCTTATGTACTCTACCCAGGCAGTGGTTTTCTTTTTGCTTGTTTTTGCTTGTTTATTGTCTAGTCAGAGTTATTCATACAAAGAGAGTTGGACAGAGTAGTGTCAAGATCAACTCTGTTTATCCTTTCATAAGAATGCTGCTGTTCTGCATTTCTTTAGGAGTAAAGAAGCTGCTGAGTTCGTTGATTGCAGACATTAACTAGCCCAACAAGTGTTGGCCTATAGTATGAAATAAAACTGCTTTTTTGTAAGCTCATTGGTATTTTGTTCTTTTGAGACAATATTTAAGAATGCAAACACTTCTAATCTCTTGTGCTCTGTACTAGGTTATTGTAGGTGATGTTCATAATGTCTGCTTAACTGAGACATGGTAATTGTCTCTGGTGGCATGATATCCATGTGATAAATTGCAGAAATCTATGATAGTTTGCACTGTATCGTGTGTTTTTTTGGTCATGTATTTTAACTCTGTTCTAAGTCATGTCCGATTGAGTTTTGAATGCTGAGAACTTCTGCATAGCTTCATACTTTTTTGAACCAAAAAAACACAACCTGACAAAAATGTTTTTGTTCCTCAACACGATGCTGACTGAGAACCCAGGCTTCTTCCTCTGCCATAACAATTTTAAAATTGAAAAGACTGAAAAGTTCAGTAACATGTGTAGGATATTTGTTGATACCCATTTCCTGTGGATTTTCTCAAATCTGTTATGTGTGAAGGCTCTGTCAGTGTTTGCAGGGATGAACTCAGTGCAGGGCTCTGAGTGTTTCCTCCTGTCGAACCATGCAGTGGAATAAGCTCAGCAGGCATTCTGTTAAACCAGTGCCCTTTCATTGGAGACAAACACTCGAGTGCCTGGGACATTCCCGTGACTTACAGCTACGAAATGAGCCTCTCAGTTGAGCAGTCATTTTTATTTTAAAAATAAGTCATGGAAGGGTCTACTAGTGTGTATAAAAAAGTGTTTTATGAGCCGTTCAGTGGCTGGTAAGTGCCGTCTGCGTGCCCGGCTTCACTTGAGTAAGTAGCTAGGTCTGGTTCTGCTTTCTTTAGCTGAGTATTGACGTGCAGGTTCCAAGGGAATGGATGATTCAGGCACTTGCTGCTTAAACTTTTCACAGTTTTCACAAGTGCAGTGGTTTCTGTGTAGTCATTGCTAGCTAGAGAATAGCTGCTTGCAGAGTGGGGCAGTCATTTAGGTCCTGTGGGTTGGGAGTGAGCAACAGCAATAACTGCTGGCCAGAGCACCCAGCATCTGCTCTGTGTCCCGGGAAGAACCGAGCTTTTGCCAGTGGTTGGTCAGCATAGTTTGATTTTATTTTTCAGTAAACGTTATCTTTAAATGAATTGATTTTATATTTGTTTTTAATTGAGAGTACATAAAAGTGATGTTAATGATTGTTTTCTAATTCTCTGACTCTTGGCCATCCCCATGTTCTCTGCTCTAAAGCTGTGATGCACAGTGAGCACTGAGCCTGTCTGCCAGACCAGCCTTGCAGAATAATCAGGAGGCTTCATTCACTCTGGAGGGGGAAGCTTCAGAGGGAGCAGCTTTTTCCTGCATCACTGTTTATTTTTTATCCCCCCACTTCCCCAAAAGTAGCGAGGGAAGGGGTGAGGGCCAGCACACAAACACCAGGTGCCTTGGGAGAAATTCTTCCTTTGACCTTCTTTTTAATATCAACCTCCATATGTCCCCATGCAAAGTGCTGTTTTTTCTGGACTCTGAGGAAAATTCTCTGCACTCACCAGCTATGTAAAATGCACAACTGTGTCTTACTGAATTACTTAATGATTGAAGCTCATTTACTTAGAAAACAGAATTAAAACATTTTTGGGGAGAGGAAAGCAGAAGAAGACGGTCAAGTTCAGCCAAAATAGCAAAGCAATGGAGAGATGCAGACAGTAACTTAAATGGCTTTAAACTACTTTTCTATTGCATTTGCTTTACTATGTGGGAGTAGGGAAGAGGAGGCTGATTTTGGAGCTATGGAATTCTTCGCCTTTATGAATGTAAATGGATATGAAAAGTGTTTTTTCTTTAGTGGGATGGATTTTTTTCTTAGAAGTTTTGACTTCCAAAATATAACTACGTGGGCTTGTGGATCTCAATCTGGTGGGAATAAAAATGATGGATAGGTGCGTCATGCACACAACCCAATCGTGTATCGTGGAAGCATCTTCTGGCACGGGGAATTTGTGACTTCTGCTCTGACTTCCCAGTGCTGCTGGGTTTCCTGGGCCTGCTTTTTATGCGCCGAGCTGATGGCTCCAGATCAGCGGCCTCGCGCGCCTGGTGTGTCTGGATACTGTTACACATTGCTGCAGTTGCATGCACCTGTATCCATGGTTTGATCCGGCTTGGAATTGGACATCAGGGCCCAGACAAGTGCCCTGTCCTGAGAGCTATTACTGGGGAGAGGAGATGAAGCCAGAACTTCCTTCTGCTTTGCCCTTTTAGTAAATCTGTCTGGTTATTGCTATACAAAACCCTGTGAAAGTAGAATGTCCTTGGAGGTGGGGATCAGGTGGTCTGTGGGAGGAGCTTTTTTAATGTGATTTTAAAAATATGTATTTTTTTGGTCAAAACTGCAGGAGTAGCTTCCCAGACCTTTAAATCATTGACAGCTTTGGAAGAGCTTTATTCCCCTGACTTGTCAGGGATTGCCAACAGGATGATTACAAGCTAAAGCTCATGTGCTGACATTCCCTTGATACCCTTGATTCAAAATTGGGAGTTTTTCCTCTTTCAAATATCCTATGTTGTTACACTAGGTAGTGTATAAACTTCTGCTTTTAAATATGTGAGGTAATCATTGCTGTTGTGTTTTTCGTTTTTTTTTTTTGTTTGTGTTTTTTTCCTTCAGGGTATGAGCATTATAGAGCAGCTAGATCCTGTATCTTTTAGCAATTACTTGAAGAAATACCATAATACAATATGTGGAAGACATCCTATTGGCGTATTATTAAATGTAAGTTTTTAAAATTTTATCTGAAAAGCCTTTTTTTTTTTTAAGCAAAATGGTTAAAATGTAACACTACTGGAGGACTCCTTAGCTCTAAAATGACAAGTCTGGAATTAAATTATTTTTCCAGTGCCCTCAATTTGGTCTGTAATTTCCTTGTCTTGCACGTAGACAAATGTGAGTTCTTACAAGGGCTGAGGTTTTCAATTGCCTGAGGGAGATGAGATAGCACATTCCTTTGAATTTCAGTGCAAGTCATTCACTTTCTTTTGGTACTTCAAACAAACAAAAATTCCATTTCCATGGGGAAGTACATATTTGCTTCTTTTGAATCAGTACTTACAAACATACTTTATATACATATGTATCTTTTTTTCTGTATTGCTATTAGCTAGCTATCGTGAATGCCTTGTGATGTCTGACAGCATTTTTGAGTTTTGCAAATATGATGAGAGATTGCCTCTGTAAGTATTAGTACAGTGCACCATTAACTCATAAATTAATGGCAATTAGAATTCAGATTAACTGGTACATTCTAATTACTGTATTTTGCTTTAGTGATGCAGGACAAGCATAAACCTGGCTTAACTTAGTTGTCTAAATTGGGTCACAGCTGCTTTGTAGCACTATTGGAGTGGTACAGATTGACATATAGCTTAAGTGAATCAGTGTACTTTTAATATAATTCAAATATAAAATATAAAATACTAGACATGCATTTTAAAAGGAAAGCGTAATTCATTGTAAATGTACTCTATGGAGAATATATAGAGGAATCCTTATAAAGTGGGGTCTCTAAAAATAGTATGAGCAGTGTCTGTGGTTGGGGATGCATGTAGTCAAATTCAGTGCTATGACTTAGTTCTAAAAATCTTCAGTACTTACTGTCAAAAACTGATTACTCTTGCAGGGAATCTGAGCTGAATTTTGTTATTTCACTTTAGCCCAATTTATATGACAATAAAAGCCCAATTTGTATGACAATAAATTGTCATATTTTACCTACATCTTGATGCTTTTTTGGAATGCATAGAAGAATACTGTCTAAAAAAGTTCGTAGTGATTTTCTGTTATGTATATGTTTTGGTATAAATTCCCCACAGAATCAAAAGCATGATGCTCAAATGATGTATTTAGTAAGGTCACTTAGCAATGTTTTGTAGAGCTGCATGGACGTATGTAGTGCAGAGGGGGCAGCATCAATGGGTAATCAGAGGGCAGAAATGGGTTCGGTCCACAAAATGCTCGTTAAGAGAGATGCTACAAGAATGCCCAAAGATCATTTGAAAGAGAGGATTGAGACCTAGGTATGATACAGACTACTTCAGTAGTGCTTTTTTTCCTTTAAACAGACTCTTTTTCTCTCCTCAGGCTATCAACGAGCTCCAGAAGAATGGGATGAACATGAGCTTCTCGTTTTTGAATTATGCTCAGTCGAGCCAGTGTCGGAACTGGCAAGACAGCTCAGTGAGTTACGCGGCCGGAGCGCTCATGGTGCACTGAACCGCTGGACGCTCAGGGATGGCACCTGCACACACTCTGTACACGGGGTCCCAGCCTAGCCCTTGCAAAGATACAGCCCTTGGTCTTTGGGTATACTGAAACCTCAAACTAATAGAACTCTTCTTTTCTAGTAGGTGTAGTCCTTCCTTAGTTTCAACTCATTTAAAAATGCTTTCTTGTTTAGGACGGTGGAAGGAAGGCTGGTATTAAAATACTTGGTGACTCTTAAGAAAAAGGTTGTGGCTCTAGAGGCATGGTGACAGACAGTCCTTATACAACACGTAAAGCATTTACCATATCCTAAATTTGCACTCTTCGCAGACTTGTGCACATGTACTCAGCTTTCAGAATAGTTTTGCAAGTTGTAAACAGAAAAAGAGGTGGAAGCTTTTTATTAAAAAAGGGGAGCAACGCATTTATAAATGATGCTGTACTAGAATATAATAAAACTCCAGTATAGTCAGTTACTACCCGTGATGTATGACAGATACCTTCTATTTTAGTTGCTAATAAAGGGCTACACAAACCAAAATAGTCTGATTTAAACTTATTGCTTTGTTTTCTTTGTGACTGCTTGTCATTAACATCCTTTATTTTCAGTTCTTATGCTTGATAACTCAGCTATTCTGTAAAACACTTCAGAACATTTTATATTTAACACTTGTTACGACTGCTTCATTTACAGATTTTTTATCTTAAATGTTCACTATGAGTTCAGCAGTGCAAAAGAATTTGAAAAACCTTTGTATATTTTCATTCTTTTTATTTTATAAAGTTATATATAAATTATCTTTTGGTATATGATACAAATTTGTATCAAAAATACAATTTTAATGATTCTTATGATCATTTTGTTGAAATAGATGCAGTATTTTTGTTTGAAGTGATTTAATATTGAAGACAATAGCTGGAAGTGAAAATTCTTAGAATATTTTATCAAGCATTCATAGGTCATGCAGAAGCCATACAGTGCCAAGCTCAAGCAATTATTTGTCACATTTACTTGGAAGGGGAAGATAAGGCTTCTGTCTCTGGGGGCAGTTTTTGGTTGTGGATTTTTTTTTCCTCTCTCTCCTTTGGCTGGGGCTAGAATTGTTTTATATTCTTTAAGCATCACTGCATCTTAAATTTTCTTGAACATTTTTTAGCCAAAATAATGGTATAACTAAATTACTACCATTTCTGGAGGCTTTCTTTCATTCTAGTAAGTGATGCAAAATAGTGTGGCAGCACTGACTCATTGTCTGAATGGAGATTCATTCCCTGGTACTTGACCTGCTATCAAGCAGCCTCCTTTTACATTTACCTCATTTTGGTAGCAGAGGGAAGTTTCAGAATTAAATTTAGATTATTTCTGACAGTTGTGGGCATTGCTGCATACAAAGTCTTCAGCTGAAAGCCTACCAGAGATCTTGACAATCTATTAGAACACTCAGTATCCTTTTTGTAAACACCAGTTTTGCTTGTACCACTATTATTTTCCGTATCACAGATGACTACTACTTTAATAATAACAGGTGAATGCTCCATTTATGAAATGAACTACATTGTAGATGTTCTGAATTAATCATAAATGCCAGATTTCGTTGCCTCCTTTTTTTTTCCTTCTACTTGCCTTATTGCTTTGCCTTGTTCTCAAAAATTCTCAGCAACAAGCAGGAAAAGACAATTTTCAGGTTATTTTTGACAGCCTTGCAGAAAGAATGTGCAAGCAAAACTGAATTGGTAGCCAGTCTTTGTAAGTACTTGTCTGACTGTGCCTTATTTAAAGTCATTTGATCCTGAAGATTTTTTCATCATCTTTGGTGAACACAAATTTAATTAGGACTCAAGTTTCTTTCAGTCTTGATGCCAAATACTTAATATCATTATTGAAGCACATAGTTAATTGGAATGATTAAGTATATATGGTTTCCCAAAGGTAAATATAATAGCTTCTGAATGCAAATATTTAAATTGCCTCTTAGTTCTATAAGTATTTTAGTAAAAACAAACATAACTGGAAGAACTTAAAGGAGATTCATCAGTCATTTTGGTCAGCACAATGTTATAATATATCTTACAGTGAAAGCTTTTCACTTGTGTACTGTGTAATGTATTTCAAAATAAAGTTTCTAATTAAAATGGGAATTTCTGTGCCTACTAATAATACCAGCAATGACAGCTCAGAAGCCCAGTCACAGGAAAAAGCTAAAGCTTTGTGAAATCTGCTTTAACTGGAGGAAAGGGTTTTGTATGAATTTTCTTTCTGCTTGAGTAGCATGTATCTCTTTTCAAAGAACTCGATGTTTTGACTTTCATGTGTTTGGATTCCATGTGTTTGGAGGAGGCTGTGACCACATTACTCATTTTCCTGGTGTCTTAATCTGAACCATGTCAGAAAGAAAAGCGAATACTGAGAAAGGTAAATCATTGAAGATATCTTCACTGAAGGCTGCAGCCTCGTTCTTGAGCATATAGTCTGTTCTCCCTCTAATATGTATTTGAATACCTCATTTATCTGGTTATTGAACATCTGATATCCTGTTTGCTTTTTGTGGAGGTTACCTCTATGCCTAGGATAAACAGGATTTGACTGCTCTTTGGTACAATAAATCTATTTAGGAAAGTGACTCACTTGCAAACTTCAGTGTTCTAGAAAAATTAATGCATGGTAAATGTGAAAATACTGCTGGAAGTACTGCATTGCTTTCCTGTTATTTACAAAAAGAAAATCTTGTTAAAAAGAGTTTAAAAGTATTTTTAAATTCCTTAGCCCAATGTTTTGGGCATCTCGGTGGCTTCAATGGGCATTGAAATGAAGCAATAGTTCTTCAGCTATTGTGCATCTGCAGAGCTAAAAGCTAAGCGATGTTAGTATGAAAATGTGTTAGCCCAAGCAGTGTCCTGCTGCTTGGCTGGTGATGCCTCTGTGTTTGTATCAGGAGCCCGTACACGGAGCCAGCATTTGGTGGTGGGTTTTCATTCTGTCTCAGTCTGAGAACACGCATTTGTTAAATCATTCTTGACCTCAGCATGGTAAGAGCTAGATCTAGCTCCTGTCAGCCTTCATGAGCACTAATTTAAATCTTGAGTTGAATTGCTTGAATACAGTGCTTTCACTGGAATTCATCTTTCACACTCCAGTGCAGCCTCGTTTCCATGAGTAAATGGATGAGTAAATGGAAACGCCAGGTGTGTGCAGGTGTTTTTAAGCGTAGCTTTTGCTCATGCTGTTTTCCAGTTAGTTCGTGTTTGTGTCTCAGGATAGTACTGTATGTGTTACTTGGGAGCTGTGGTTTCATACTCGGGCACTGAAATGAGGGCTTCTGTTTGATGCTTGCACACGAGGCCTCCCAGGGCTTTGACATTTAGTGTTGGTGGTAGTGTTTGATGTGTTCGTGTGCAGTTGTTTTATTTGTTTTGTGTGTGTGTGTTACTCTCTCTCCATGTTTGTTCTCTCCTCTTACTAAAGAAAATAACAGCTATGTCGAGGAGAGTCTTGCTTTTAAATTACATCAGTCATTACTATTTGTAGTTGTTGTTTCCTCAGGCTGGGTTAATGTGCTAGCTAGTTTCTGATCTCTTGGAAATTACCTAAACTTTATCATTTCTTAAGTAAAAAATGAATATTGTACTCTCCTGATGAGCTCTTTGAGCATGCAGTGGAGTATTATCACTTTTTTCTTTTTAACCCTCCCATCCAAGATAGAACTGAGTTTGGGGTGGTTTAGCTCATAGGACACTGTCCTAATTATCGAGAAGTTGGCTTCATAAGTGGTTTGTCAGAGGACAGTGCAGAGGTACCAGCCAGGAGCAGTCCTGGCCCTGGCTGCCTGCAGGTAAGCTGAGCCTCAGTCCCTCATCGTGGGAGGAAGGTGCCTAATATCTGTGTACTGCCCTACCCTGCCATGTATGCCCTGTGGGTCGAGGTGGCCTCTGAGCAAGCCTTGTGCTAGGCCAGCATTAACCCCTAGCGCACTTCTGTCTCAAATGCCTTTTTGTCTGCAGGGTTAAGCACAAAGTGCTGTGCTTTTTTTTCTTTTGCCTTTCTTTTCCTCTCATCTATAAGTAGTTACAAGAAGAAGAGGAGCAGTGAGCCTATAAGCTCAAAGTTCAGTTGTGATAAATCAATGTTGAGTTTGTATGAGCATTCTCCTTTTATGGTAAAAAAAAAACAAATTTTGTTTATGGTCACAATGCGAAGAGCTAGTGTTGAAAAATAACCTGTCAGTAAGATGCCTGCTAGAGATGGAGGTTTTGGAAATGCTGACTGTTTCTATGATTGCTTTCAAGGAGAAATAATATTTTAGTCATTGTGAGAAATGTTTTTGGTGTGCAAGGCAGAGTTTTAATCAAATGCAACTTTCAAGGAGCTGTGAAAGGAATTAATTTAGTTCCTGTGTGTGAGCCCTTGCTCTGGCAAGCATGATCAGCGTTCATCTCTTAGGAGTTATTCAGGAAGCAAGGAGCCTCTGTGTGTGGTGTATTTCCAAGTCAACTGTTAGTCAAAACACAGGGTTGTGTGAGGGAAATTAATTCTGGTAAAGCAGACCGCAGACTATTGTAACATATATAAGCATGTGCTTAATGAAAGCTTATGTAGTCTCCACCATGCTACACAGTTACTGAGGGATGGCTCCTCACTGGGAATATTTCAGTGAGCTCACTCTAATGAGCCTAAACATGCTGTGTAAGCTGATAAAACTGAGTTTGGTGTAAAAGGTGGTCAACACCAGCGCTTGGACGCTCGCAGTGCTCCACCTGTCTTCATCCTGTCCTGCCTCCGCACAGGCTGCAGGAAAGGCGGCTTGTGTGGGGCCTCTTCCTGCTGGGGATGGCTGGGAGGCCTTGTCTCTCACCCTGTGGGCTGTAGCTTCCCGTTCTCCATAGGGCTGGAGCCTCCATCACGGACAAGGTCCCTGATCTGTGCCCTGGAGAGGTGGGTGCCCAGGAACAGACCTTCGCGGCTGCCTCAACCCGCGGCCTCCTCGGAGCCATGACAGCTCTGCGGTCTTGGTGGAAAGGAGGCCATCCTGCAATGAAGTCGATGGAAGAACCTCAGCAGGTCACCAAAGCAGCTGGCTATGGTGATGCTGGCCCTCAAAAGTGTTTCTAGTTTAATCTGCGTAACTAGTACCAGGCCCTAAGGAGATGCCGATGTTGGCTGATGAAAGGTTTAATGCAGGAAACTCAGAATAATATGATTTGGCCCATAATAATATATATATATTTAACAGTAGGGTTTTTTAATAGTAGACAACTGTTAACATAGAATTTTAGTTTGAGGGGGGAAAAATGAAAAGAGATCTGCTTAACACTAGGTGTCAGTGTCGTGCTTCTCTGTGCCTTCTGCATGGCGCTTGAGAGAACCTTTTCCTATACTGGGGAAACGGGTCTACCCTGACATAAAGAGCTTACGAAATTTTCTAACCCCAAGCAGTTGATAATTATT